TCTGTCTCCACCTTAACTGCCTTCTTCTTCTTCTGAACCTTAGATGAACTCTTTGGTTTAGCTTCAATCATGAGTGCTAAAGGATTAGCAGAAAAGCTTCCTTCCATCTCAGCAGTGTCATTCACAAACTGCTGAAGATGCTCATGAAGTGTGCAGAGATCTAGTTCATCTAAGTCCAAGTGTTGTCTCAGGTTCTTTACAGTTCTTTTCCACTCAGGGGGCAGGCTCGACAAGAAACGTATATTCATCTCCATGTTTGATTTCACAACCTTGATCTTCCTCATCTCGTTGATCAGTTGTACAAATCTGTTATACGTTTCATGGAGCGCCTCCCCTGGTGCCGCCTTGAACGCATCATAAGCAGTTAAGATGTTTGCTTTCTTCGTCTTCAGTCCAAGATCAGTTCCAATCATCAGCTTTTTTACTTCATCCCACATTTCTTTAGCAGTCTCCATGCTATCAATCAGAATGTAGATGTCATTTGGGATTGCTTGTAGCAGGAATGTCTTTGCCATAAGATCAGCTTTGATTCTCTGTCTATCCTCTTCAGTGTACTCAGCCTTTGTCTTCAATCTTCGTTCTTGATTAACAGGTGGGTTGTTTGCATCAACGCCATTCACACTTGCCCAAATCTCAGCAGGTCCTTGGGTGAGGGATTCCAGCATAGCGGAAGAGTTATCTTTACTTTCTAGAAAATTTAAGAATCTTGTTCTCCACATCTGGTATTCACCTCTCCTCAGAATTGGGGGCCTACTGTCATTACCAAGTGATAAAGCATCCATCTTTGCTGATTGAGCCTTAACAGATCGGTCGAGTGTTTTGATCAGAAAAAAAAATTTAATATGCAGAATGTCGAAAACCTAATTCAAGAAAGAAATTCGAAAACTAGGGTTCGAGAAGTTCTATCGAGAACCAGTTTTCGATAGTGAATATCGAGAAACTGTTTATCGAGAAGCAGGAGTCGAGAAGCTGTATCGAGAACATCAGTATCGAGAAGCTAAGTTCGAGAACTTAGTTTCGAGAACTGAGTGTCGAGAAGCTGTATCGAGAACCTGCAATTCGAAAAAACAGAGTTTTAGATATTTAGTATCGAAAACTGAGTGTCGAGAAAGCAATCTCGAGAACTCAGTTCGAGAACTTGTATCGAGAACGTAGTATCGAAATCCTGCAAATCAAAATTTCAGATTAAAACAGTTTAAACAACTTTTCTGTGAAGTTTTCGATCTCGAGAGTCTTCCTGTATAGTTATCGTCCTGAAAAACCTGCTTAAATGTCGAGAACCCTGCTTTTCGAACTCATACTATCGAGAAATCAAAAATACCGAATCTACTGAAATCGAAAAGTAAGATATACCCTTGGTTCGTTTCTGAATGGCGAATCCAATGATATAACTTTTACAGTTTATCGATCAGAAACAAGATTACAGTGATTACAAAGAAATATATCGAAAAGTATGAAAACAGAGAAACTTCGAAAACTTTTCTTCGACGATCACACTCGAGCAGGCTCTGATACCAGTTGTTGGTCCCAGTTTAGTAGACTAACGATCAGCTAGATGAACGTCATCGATAGACAGAAGAGAAGGATTTCATATAATGATATAAGATTTATCGAGAACAGTGAAACCTTCTTTCTGTGGTATCGAGAAGTAAATTTGGCAGCGTAAGGCTAATGTGTATTGATCGATATCGGTACTTGTACACAAGGCGCATATTTATAGGCGCTGTACAGGTTACCGATTTAGGTAAACCTTGGAAGTTGGGCCAAGGCCTTTTTGGGCCTTATTCCCTTTACCTTATTTGCTACATAATAAATACTAATCTAATACCATAAATGGTATAACTAGTCTACTTTATTTAAACAAGACATTACAGACAAACTTGACCCACAATAAAAGTTCTAACAGAGATCCTTATGGTTGGACCTCCATCACTTTGACCTCCATGTGGTTCCACATGGACTCTAGATGCATTGTGGCTTCCTCCTCTTGAAGCCATACCCGAAGGTTGCCCCGTTCGGCGCCTTCGGCGTTGCCTCCTCTCTTCACGCTCCCGATGGTATTGTTCGAGTAGCGCCTCAATCCTCCCAAGAGTGCCATTATCGTCACTCTCCCCGCTCATGTCGTCATCCTCCCCATCATATGGGGTTTCCACCGGCTCGGTTTCCGGCCTATAAGTTGAGTCCTCATAGGACCAATAAGTTTCGTCCTCCGTGTCAACGTGACCGTCGCTCACGGTTTGTTGCTGGCCTCCACGGCCCCTTCCCCTTGTCACCCTAGTGGACCCCCGGCTGCCGCGTTCGGATCCACCCAGTACACGGCCCGTCGGGTTCCTCCTAGTGATTCTTCCAATTGGCTCCATTTCTGAAAGAAGTTTAGAATGAGCCATTAGACTCGTATCAAATGTCAAGTGACGGATAGGTACTTAAAGACATCTTTTGGCTCAAATCACCGCCATACCAATTGTTAAGGGTACCATCTTAACAATTAGAGACCTTGCAACTCAAGTACCAAAAGTTCTATGAGTACAAAACTTTATGCTCATGGTTTTCAAAAATCATTTTCAAAAAGAATTTTGAAGCTTCATTATGAAGTTTACGGACTAAGGCTCTGATACCAACTTAATTGTCACGCCCCGGACCTACCGGACACGTCAACAACCCGCCGTACAGTACGAATAGTCAACCGCAGTCCAACTCATCCATACTATACTAGGCGTCTTGAATATCATTCACAATAGTACATCCATAAACAAACATAATGTAAAATAATCAATTGAAAACAGCGGAAACGTTTAATACAAGTGTCTATGCCACACTCCGGCAAACATGGGCATACAAGCCCCAATAATCATTCAAAAATATCCATGAGCATTAATTTAATGTTTTTTAAAAAAAGATAGAACGGAGGAAGCACGAACCACGTCTTCCCTCCTGAATCTCCCCGAAGCAACGGGCACTGGTAGCAAGCTTTACTCCCTACCTGAAACTGTGAGGTGGCCTCCCCCGTGAAGGGGAGGTCAGTACTTGGAAGCATTTGACAAGTACAATGACAACTATACTGAGTATAATCAACGTTTTAATTTCTAAGACCCTCAAAATAGGGTGATATCATAATATAAATAATAATTTATATTTCCCACTTATTATCTCTATAATAAGTAAATTTATTTATTTGTCGGCACACGGCCCATTTCATATATTTCGTTATACCCGTCGTTAGCACGACGCCGCCCGTAGGTCTTGTCCTCCTTTACGGGACTTGTCACCGCTCTCCGAGGCCTCACCGGGCTCTCGGGCCGGAGTCCAACATCCCGCCCCTGAACTCATACCCATCGTCCCGTAGGAAGGTAAGGTCCATTCGGGGTCCTATCTTATGTGTTACCGCTGTCGGGAGCCTCGTAAGGTCTCCGGTTCGGATTCCACCCTAACCCGTGATCACGATGTAAGTCCATGCTATCCAACCCCGCTCTCTAGAGTCGGGAAGGGCCATGGTCCTTACTAATTACCAATACTCTATCGGCTAATCCTTAAAGACTACCGAATACACCCGTAGGCCAATCCTATTCCTAGGATCAATTTATTATTCACTTTATCTTGGGTATCCCTTAAGGCCTACCCCTAGCATCACTTATCCACCTTAGTATCTCTTAAGACTACTTAAGGCTCAACAATCTACAATCCAAACCTTGGATCAATTCTAACATATTTCATTCCAAAACCCCGACTAGTATCATAATACTAGTCGGATAAATTCCAACAAAACTCATTTTCAATTCATAGTCATATAGACAATTTCCAAACTAATTTTCCATTGAAAATATAGTTCATATCAATATACAAAATATAACCTTTAATCACTCATATATCCTTATATGAAGTTATAGTTATATTTCAACACATTATTTATAATTAATCCCTTCATCAAGCCAATATGCTCATATTACATAATCATACACAATTTATCCTTAAATTTGTATATTATGCTCCTTTATTCATTGACAACAATATTTTCATTTAGGCATTATTAATCATTAATAATCCATGAAAATCACATTTATTTACTTTAGGTAATCCTACGAAATTAACCCAAAGATTATAAGCAATATAGTCAGCCATCCTCACCTTATGAAGTGCTGGGTTAGTTGCCTTTGATAAGCCCTTCGATCGATCCTCGTTCTAAACCGATCAAGAGTGAAAAGTCTGGACAGAAGGTGAAAGCCGGGCGGCTTTCGTGAAAGCCGGGCGACGTTCGTGGTCTGCTACCACGAACAGCTCCTCCTTCTTGGCGGTTTCCGGTGGTTTCAACTCCTATCGATTCCACGACTCTTCTAAGTTAAATACCACCACTTTATAACATTATTCTACACTTTTAAACGTGTAAAAACTCATGTTTAACCCGTCGTATGATTTCTTAAAATCATACAACATAAACTAGTTAAAGGACTATATAAGTTCTTACCTCCAATCCTAACACCTTGGATTTCCTTTGCTGGTTCTTCCTTCAACCTTGGATTCAATGAGAGTGTTTCCCAGAGCTCTCCTCTTCCTTGTGTTGGCCGAATGATTGCAAGGGGAGTAGGGGAGATGTCTATCTCAACCAACACAATAATGTGTGGGATATGGCATGGGGTGAGTGGGTTTTGTCTTGTGCAATCCCCTCCCCTATTGAGTCCGCCCCTCCCCATGTTTCCTTGTCTCAACTCATTATTTTGAGTCCACAAATCTTGTAGGAAAAACCCCGAATGGGGTAGAAAGTTCCTCCCAATTATTCCCGCTATTTCAGGCCGGTCGGGTCAAAATAGCACCCGGGTTGTCCAAATATTTTTATCAACTTCGGTTGGCGTTTTATTGGACCCCTATGATTTTTATGATAGCCCAACTAAATATTTGGTAGCCCATTCACATTTAATGGACCCGATAAATAATTTGATTAATCGCACATTAATTAAATATGCCAATTAATTTCACGAATTTTATTCGCTAGGAAATTCAATACATGTCCACTTTCAAATTCAAGTACATTCGGGTGCGGTGTCACAGCAGTCCTCAGAGTCGTCATACAACGACAATCCTCGGCCTATTCCTAGAGACTTTCGACCTCCGGATGCCAGGTTGGGCTTCCCTGGACGTCCGATCCCTTGACGGTCAGCCCGCTCGAACTCTAGTTGTTGGGGCTCTGGAATTTTCCTTCTGGATGCTTGGGCCGACATGCTTAGGAAGATTAGTCCCTAGAAACCCGACTCGACTTCCTTTGGACGTTCGTCCCTAGAAACTCGGCCTAGATGTGTCTTTGCTCTTGATGCACGACCCGATAGCAGTCCTCAGAGTCGTCATACAACGACAATCCTCGGCCTATTCCTAGAGACGTTCGACCTCCAGATGCTAGGTTGGGTCTCCTTGGGACATTTCTACCTCAACATGCTCACCCTGGGCATGCTCGGTCTCAGGATGTGTTGCGCGTCTCGAAGCCCTCGGCCTCTAGGGTGGAGGAGCGCGTCTCCCGACCCTCGGCCTCCGGGTGGAGAAGCTCGTCTTCAAGCCCTTGACCTTGGGATGCTAGATGATCATCTCCGGCCCTTGGCCTCCGGGTCGAAAGATGATCGTCCCCAGGCCTAGGCCACTGGACGATAGATGATCGTCTTCGGGCCCTCGACATCCGAGGTGAAAGATGCTCGTCTCCGAGCCCTTGGCCTTTGATGGTCTTCTTTAGACACTCGGCCTCTGAGGAGGAGATGATCGTCCACGGCCCTTGGCTCTTGGGGTGGAAGATGCTCGTCTCCGAGCCCTTGACCTTTGGTGGTCTTCTTTAGACGCTCGGCTTCTGGGGTGGAGATGTTCGTCCCCAAGCCCTTGACACCAAGGTTCATTTTGAGCATCATCTCTAATCTGATTATGATCTTTATCTGCACAATGAACATAGTAACGCGGCCAAATGGCCAGACAATATGTATATGTGCACATTCTTTTTTTTTTAATTATTTTTTTTCTTTTTTCTTTTTTATCAGGGGCTCTTCCGGGACGGTTGGCCTCGGGGTACAATGACCCTCGGCTCGGCCCGTCACCCAGCCCCTAACTATTAAATAAAAATGTCGGTGGAAGCTCATCCCCGAACTTCGCTCGCTAATATTTATTTTGGGACATTTTAATCCCTGATAAATAGTGTTGATAGCGAATAATAATACTTACTCACTGTCAATTTTTAAATGTACCACCGTATGGGGTACTTAGCTTTTGGAGATCGATGGACGTTCGGCCAGTTGAGATTTTCTGAAGCTTGATTTGGTTCCTTTTGGCAATTTTGACTTAGTCAAAATTTTCTAGCTATGAGTTTCCCAAGCTCCAAACTTTGCTATAGACGTTCTGCCAGAGAATAGCCCTCACAACTTAGATCGCTGGCTGACCATCACACGCCCCCTGCTGTTCCACCATGCAATGTTTTCCAGCCCCAGGACGCTCTTGGAGCAAGGTTGCAACCCAATGCTAAAACTTGAGTTCACGCGGAGCGGCAGTCTGGATCTGAGTGGGGGGACGAGCGGCGATGCATATCATCTAGCCGTCCGAGCCCCTACGACGACGTTTCCTCCCGGATGGGCAAACAGAACTAGCGGTCGCTCGTCGTGGTAGATTATGTACCGACCGGCCAAGGTACTATCCAATACCGGTGGAGACGGCCAAGGGTCGGATAATAGCGGCGCTACCTAGGCTCAAAAACTCATGCAGAGCATCCGGTGCTAGGGTAGGGTGGCATGGATGTGCTTGATATCTACCCCGACTTCAAGCCGAGCGTCCCATCTCTTACTGAGAATCAAAGTAACAACTTCAAGCTGTAAGGGATCCCCCCCATACCCCCGAACCAGGTGGGAGCGGCTGCTTCCCTAAAGCTCCCTTAGCCGAGCTAAGATATGGTTACCCTTTTCCGATCCCGGCCTCCTCTCGTGTGAAAGAAAAAACAATGACGGGTAGTGCAACGGCCTCCTCCGTGCGTCAATATACGTCAGGTCCTCTGAAATTCCTGGCAGCAAAAAGGTGGCTAAAGCCACATGCCGGTCGGCAGCTCGTTGACTGGGCGGTGGGCCGTGCTGCATGTCCACAGCTCTTAGCCGTGTTGGAGAATTGAGCGGTGCTGATCATTGGGCAACACTTCAAACGCCGGGCAGGCAGCTTACATGGTACTCGAATTGTTCCCTGCCTAGTGACGTGCGTTGACCACTAGCCTGCATTTGAGAGGCCGAGCGGCCAGCCGGCTGGTGCATGACTACATCCGTAGAAAGTGCTTGGAGGCAAATCCGCTCGTCCGCACTCCACACCATGAAGGCCCATCATTCTTGAGTACGGTACATGCGGGACCTCTCTGCCATACTGCCAGTTTTCACATGTTGTCTGTCTATTCTATTTTCTCCTTTAGTGGAGTCAACGACAAACCACCGGTAATTCTGTAGCCGCCGGCGTTTTACTAGAGACGGATAGGTGAGACTCGGTACGCCGTAGCGAACTCCACCTGGGGCAGGTGAACCCACCGGAGGGTCTGCGGCGGCGGCTCCGATGACCCCAACCCGGTCTGGACAACCTTGGACTTTTCTTCCTTCTTTCGTAGCTAGCTCCTTATTTTTCTTGGTCACGTCAGATCTTCTTCATGTTTTCCCTTCTAGAATCATTTTTGTTTATTGGAAATCCATTGCATTTCCGTATCATTTTTTTTTGTTGAAAATCAGTCCTCTGCCTCAGATTTTTTGTAGAAAAATCAAGAACACGCTAAACTTTTTGAACTGATTCCCACAGACGGTACCAGTGCTGAGTTTAATCCAACACGATATAGTAAATATATGTATAAATGTGTATGAACAAGCTCAGTTTTTACGTGGAAACCAGAAAGGGAGAAAACCACGGGACTTTTTAGACTAATGTCCAAGCCCTCTCATTCTCATTAATCTCTCCTCACCATTACATAGTACAATCTGAGCTCCCATTAATGGAGTATTGTAAGTAAGCTAGCTAGAGAGAAGGAAGAAGAATAAGCTAAGGAAAAAAGTCCTCCCTAAACATGTGGGAAAGCCCCATATTTATAGGGGTAAGGGAAAGGGGGAAAACCTAACCTAATGGGCCGGATGGGCCGAAATGGGCCCAAGGACCGAAATAGGCTTGATAGGCTGAAGGTAGGCCTCGTTGATCGGGCTCCGTACTACGTACAGTCTTGGACTCCTGAATAGTAACGGACCGGGATAATATATCTCAACACTATGTATGTAGCATAACATAGGAAACCCTCATCAGCATATGATGTCCCCGGCCTTATAAACGCATCATGTATTAGCTCTTGCATTAAAGAAAAATTAGCTATTGCGGAACCAAAATGTACTTTAATATACTACTCATATCAATAAGCTATATAATTTATATAGGAGAAAGTGATTAAAATACCCCAAACTTTGAAAGAGTGTGAGGTAAACACTCCAAACATGTGTATGTAATTGCAATATCCCGAACTTAATATAAAGAATTATGTTAGAACCATGAACATATAATTTACAACATAAGTTATGACTATAAATTTTAAGTTAATATATGATATGATGTTAAAATAACTTTTTATGTGAACTTTGGGGGTATTTACATTACACATGCAAGTTTGGGGTATTTACCTCACACTTCTTCAATAGTATTTTTCCCTATTAGATAATAGTATATTAAATATCTTAAAACACATATGATACTAGATCTTTACTGTAATTGGTATTTGAAGAGAGTTTGAGCAAGAGAACAAAAAAGGTATCCTATGGAGTACTTAAAATGCCCTTTCTATGACAATATGTCTATATGACAAATTGTGCCTCGAAAGTTTGAGTATTTCCTCCATATTGAGATGTTTGTTATAATAGAATCTGTCACAATAATAGATTATTAATCTAGAGAGAAGGGGAGCTAGAGAGATAAAGTGATTTGTATAAATGATTTTCCAACCCTTTACGTGGCTCCCATAGGGAGTATTTATAGGAGAAAAGTGGGTTAGGCTTCCGGGCTTGGGCCTGGCATGCCCAGTTACAATAAAAGGGCAATAAATGGCTGTAACCATGAATGTACAATGATGGGTATACATGAATAACCAGAGTGTACAATGATGTAAATGCTGTCTGTTGAGCATGTGTGGGGCGCTGTCTGCACCCAATAGTATAGAGACAGGGGGTTCGAGTCCATATACTCAATCAAACAACAACAACAATACATATTATAATTGTAATAGTAATAATAGTATTAGTAATAATAAACGTAATAGATCGTATTTGATTTGCTCTGAATGTTTCATGTTTGATGTGAATATTTGTGATCTGATTTGATTTCTTTTATCTGGTTTAACTTGATCTCTATCATTCCAATCAAATCATCTAATCTGATCTAAATAAATTTAGTAAGCAATAAAATTTAGACAAACGTAACAGCCCCTAGATCACATAGTCTACCACATCAACATGTAAAGGTGGATTCATTCTTTTGTCTAAGTTTTATTAATATCTCTCTCCTAATGTAAGATTCATTTGTCTTCCTCGCATCCTCGACTCAATTGTATATTCATTTCTTTTTTTCAACAATAATCTTAACGATTTCTAAATCTCATCTTAACGACTCAATCTAATTCATTGAATTGCACCGGTTATGAGTACGCATACGATTTTTTTCTATATATTTTCATTCATGTTTTTTTCATAAGAAACATTGTACATACTATTTACCATGTGATGCACGGGTACACAAACTAGTTCATTATATTTCAATACTCCCCTTGAATGGTCATATTCCAATTACTCATGGGTATTAGTTGTCTCGTTAAAAACCTTACTATTGTTTCCACAATGTGATGAAAATCATAGTTAGGGAAAAAGAGTACAACACTTGATGTCATAGTATTATAATGTATTGCCTCGTCAGAAACTTTGTCATGAAAAACCCAGTGGGGTAAAATCCTGAACGAATGGAAAAAAGTGCAATGCAGTATATTACTCCACCTCAATTATATATATATATATATACATATTGAAGATGGCACATTCCAGTTTGTGGACCAGTTCTTCAAATTTCTTCGGAGCCAATGATCTTGTGAATAAGGATGTTTTTACTTGGACTGTAATTTGCTGGTCTGGTCTGGTCTGGTATGATCTGGTCTGGTCTGGTCTGAACTGGTCTGGTCTGGTCTGGTAAGGTCTGGTTTCTTTGTATTTTTATAACTATCCAAGTCTGGTCTGGTCTGGTCTGAACTGGTCTGGTCTGGTCTGGACTGGTCTGGTCTGGTCTGGGGCAAATTACAGTCCAAGTAAAAACATCCTAAATCAACAGGGTTGTCGCAAGACTTGATTTGTTTGACATCAATTGTTCTTTCTTTCTCGAGATCATGTGTGGAGAAAAATTATGGTGCTATATGCTTTGTTCTATTCCCTCTGATGTAAAACATGTAACATCCTTTGACCTGAGCTAGGGAAAGATCAAGTACAAAGTGTGCTTATTGTGCAAATATTTGTACGATGCACCTTGACGTTATTTGCATTGCATATTGAGGTTCAAAGTATTGCACATTATAAAGTCATAAAAATAACAGTTGCACATTAAGGTGCAACGAGTTGCACCCTAAAGAGTTGGGTTTTATTACAAAAATGCCACCTTGCCTTTATGTCCTTTGGATCAACTCATCGGACGGTCAAGATGAGTTTGTACTTTGTAAATTAAGAAGGCTTTGTATTTGATCTCTATTCTATATATATATATATATATATATATATGAGTCATGGCCTGGCCGGACAGAAGGCTCGTCCGGCCACCTCAATTTGAGGTGGTTCCCGGTGGTATTTTTTGCCCAAATTTTTTGTGTATGTTTCTCATCAAGTCTAGTTCATCCATACCAAATTTGAGCAAACAATTCAATCGGGAAGGTCGTCAAATGATTTTTGCAAGTTAACTGGTCCGGAATATACATATAAAACGCAGTGAACTTGCAAAAATCATTTGACAACTTTCCCGATTGAATTTTTTGCTCAAATTTGGTATGAATGAACTAGACTTGATGAGGAACATACACCAAAAATTTGAGCAAAACATACCACCGGGAACCACCTCAAATTGAGGTGGCCGGACAGAGGAGTGGTCTGGCCTGGCCGGACCTGAATAATTCTCTCTCCCTCTCCCTCTCCCTCTCTCTCTATATATATATGTTGGAAATATGATGGAAAATATATATTTTAAGGGGGCTCATTTATGAGTCCTGAGGATAAATGTATAGAGTATGATTTGGAAATGATTTATATACATCAAAGTACAACTTTTATGATTGGATTATAATTAATAAAATAATCCATAGTTGTAAAGGTGGTAAAGTGATGTTTTAATATGATAAATTTTTTGTCGCTTATAAGTAAAAGCTACCGTTGTAAATTATTTTATATGATAAGGAACATTGTTCAAGTATCATTTAAAATGTATCAAGGAATTGCTTGCGTTTTGACAAAAATTATGACTTGCTGAATCTGAACAGTTTTATTTTAAATCATAAAATAAAACGTGCAAAGCAGTATTCAATTTGGAATTCAAAATTGAAATACGATGCTTGGTCCTGCGTTACATCCATACATATCTTAATGGTGGTTAATGTAGAGGTTTGGATGAGCATTAAAGTGGTTTTCCGTTTCATGCTTTGAAATTCTGATTTCCGTTGAACTATTATTCCCCTACCTCCTTATTCCGTTAGATGAAGTATAAAGGCCACTTCTGCATATTGCTTTGACGAGAGCTCTTACACACAAAAGAATAGAAAACATCCTTTCTCTATCATTTTCTTTAGATCATCATACATACATACGTAAATCATTTTTTTGATTTGAGTGGGTCTTTACTCCACTAGTTTGTCCATTCCAAGAGTACGTATAATTTATATATTATACTTTCATAAGAGTTCAAGTCAACTCTATTTCTTGGCAAATTTGGCAACGGTCGAAGGTTTCAGTCAAGGTAGCTACGAGTCTGAAACGTGGTAGGATTATCCTGGGAGCGAGCTAGCCAGACCCGTCCGAATAGCTATCGGGATACGGGGGCTATCTTTCTTCAAGGCCAGTCCGTTTTAACGGGCGATGCTGCGATAAGTTTTCTTATCCTTATTTTTTAATTATTTTAATTTATACTAATTATTATTATTTCCTTTTCTTGCATTTGGCGGTTTGTCTGGTGATTTGTTTAAACTCGGGATTTTTATCTGGTTAAACTCGCAATTTTAATATCATTTTTCTATATATATATATATATATATATATATATATATATATATATATATATATGCCGGGGTAAATGTCTCCCGCATTTACCCCACTGATTTTAGTGGTTGACCTTCCGGGGTATATATATATATATATATATATATATATATATATATATATATATATATATATATATATATATATATATATATATATATATATATATATATATATATATATCGGGAGTGGTTCTAATGAGAACAAGTCTTATTGTAAGAAATGAGAACAAATCTTAATCACTCATTGCAATAAATCAACGGTTGAATTATGTGTGGTACACCCTATTTTTGTGTGGACAAGCATAGGAGATGATTTACATCTCTAAAGGATTCCATTTGCGTGGATTCATTAAGGACAAATGTGTAATTCTGAAAATGAGCATTTATGGTGTATAAAGTCTTACGTTTCCTAACTAAGGAAGTTTAAGACACAATTTATAATACTTTCTAAAATAAAGTCAACTAAAAAATAGAAGATAATACGGGTCGTATATTATCAAAAAAAATACAAGTATCATTTCACACACTAGAATTTCAGACAAATTATGTAAGTATATAATGCACGAGAACCGGTATATAATACACGGTACGTATATAAAACGTCAGAACAAGTATTTTAGGCACAAAAATCAGTATCTGGTCCACAATAATTAAGAACTAATTAATATCTAACAAATTAAGACTTCATATAAATCAAAATATTATATAATACACAAGAATCAGTATCTAACACATAATACGTATGTAGCTCAAGAGCTAGTACATAATGCACAAAAACCAATATGAGACACACAATAACTAAGATTGAATGCAAATGAAAAGTATCGTACACATAATGCTTATAATAATGCACAAGAATCGGTATCTAATGCATAATACGTATGTAGCTCAAGAACTAGTACATAATGCACAAAAACCCATATCAGATATACAATACCTAAGATTGAATGCAAATGAAAAGTATCGTACATATAATGCTTATAATAATGCACAAAAATCAATATATAATACACAAGAAACATGTAAAAAAATCATAAATTGATGCACAAATTGATAACCATCGTGTGATGCATGTCTATGTAAATACACAAAATTTAATATTTAACACACATGAAATAAATAGATATTCATTAAATAAAAGTAACATGGTAATATGTTAAATGCTTCCAAGAATAACATATTCTATTCAATATAATAATTTTAAAAAGTCAATTACCAACTAAAGTTAAATACGTAAGTGGACAAACTTAATTACACAATGGTGACGGTTACACACTCACCAAATTAACCTACCCACACATGATTACCAAAATACCCAACAATAAATGATCTAATCTTACGTGGATGTAGAAAGATGAATGGCCAGGATTTGTTCTCACTTCTCACGTTAAGAGGTGTTCTCATTTGAACCAAAATCTCTCTCTCTCTCTATACATATATATATATATATATATATATATATATATATATATATATATATATATATATACAGACACACACATACATATAGAGGCCTGATCATGTCCAGCCGGAGGGACAGGACCCGCCGTCCGGCCGTCGCCATTTGGGACCCTTCCTGGTGGAATTTTTCGATGAAATTTTTTGAGCATGTTCTTCATGAAGTCTAGTTTATCCATACTAAATTTCAGCTAAAAATTCAACCGGGAAGGCAGTCAAATGATTTTTGGAAGTTAACAGCGCAGTTTATATACATATAAAACGCAGTTATCTTCCAAAAATCATTTGAGTGCCTTCCCGGTTGATTTTTTAGCTGAAATTTGTTATGGATAAACTAGACTTTATGAGGAACATGCTTAAAAAATTTCATCAAAAAAATCCTCCGGGAAGGGCCTCTGATGGCCTTGGCCGGACGGTCCCTCCCGTCCCATCAGAGGCCCTTCCCGGAGGATTTTTTTGATGAAATTGTTTGAGCATGTTCCTCATAAAGTCTAGTTTATCCATACCAAATTTCAGCTAAAAATTCAACCGGGAAGACACTCAAATGATTTTTAGAAGATAACTGTGTTTTATATGTGTGTATATATATATATATATATATATATATATATGTGTGTGTGTGTGTGTGTGTGTGTTGAAGTTTAGTCCCGTAGATCCGAAAGCCCAACACACGCTTTGGATATTTAGGACGTAGGTTTGGTCTAAACGGTGTATGAAATATAAAAATAGTGAGTCAACTGAACTTAGAAGCTAATCTTGCATTAAGTAACTATCATATTACAATGAACTACCTGAACGGTACGTCGGAGTAGGATCTAATAAAAGAACAAGGGAGATAATTCTATTGCTAAGCTCTGAGTATCAAAATGCTAACCCTTTACAATGTATTCAATGCAGGTATTTATACTAAAGAGGGGGTAGGTGGGATGATGACGTGGTGGAACCCGGGTGGTTGCTGCCTCTGCTGCCTTTGCACCCATGCCTCCACTTGATACCGCCATACTTTGGCATTAAATGTGGTTGCCACTTGGATGTGGCCCATGCGGGTATCTCGTTCGGGGTTTGGGCCCCATAAATGGATGCCTAAGCACTTGACACTTTGCTAATTGCCCAAGTTGGATTATTAACCCGAATGCCGATCGGGTAATGTCTTAACTGAGTTTCCTTGATTTCTTTGGATGCGATGGGCTTGCTCTTCCTTCTGGGCTTCTCTCTGATTTGGACCAGGTATATTGGGCTACAGCCCAATACCCCAACACAAGCCCCCCCACTTTCGATGTCTCGAACGGTAGTGAGTGCATAAGGAAGTAGAAAAAGTTACCCAATACCCCAACACAAGTCCCCCACTTCAGCGGCTGCCTTTTCAGTTTCCCGGTAACCGTCATGATTACTTGTTGATGCTTCTCCGTGTGACATGTGTTCCTGCAATCATTCCTAGCGACGTGTCCCTTCCTGATTGGTTGGAGAATCAGTGATGTCAGGTTATAAATAGGATCTTAGGGCCTTGATTCCGGGGTTTCAAAATTTGAATCCTTCGTGCCTCAACTCTGCTCTCTCTCTAGAGTTCAAACTTTTGGTTGTGTCCAGGTAACCCTTGTGCCTTCCTCACCCCTATTCTTTCTCCTTTCTTGTTCGGTTAACATGGCAACTCATCCACGGTTCACCAAGGGGAGGTTCAAGATGCCACTGCAGAGAATGCTACTGCAAATGTGGAGGATTCCGGCAACGACTCCGACGAGGACTCCTCCTCCTCCAGTACTTATTCGGATGGCACCAAATCTGGCGACGAGCTTGATTCTATGGAGGCTGGCCCTTCAGGCGATGCTCCACGTCATAAGCTTGACCTAACTCTAATCCGTCACCGGCGGCAGAAGCTTACGACCCCGAATAGGGCCCAAATTCCAAGCCTAATTCCAGACCCGGTTGATTTCCGCCTTCAAGCTGGGCTCCACCCAATGCGCCATCTCCCGGGAATAGTAGTAGTCCATTTGGACTCGGTGAAAGCTGGGCTTAGATTCCCGCTCCACCCCTTTTTTGTTTCTTTTTTAAATTTTTACGAGGTGGTGTCGGCCCAAATTATGCCGAACTCCTACTGGACCATGGCTGGTTTTATCTGCCACTGCGTGGACGTTAAGGTGACGCCCACCTTAGATCTTTTCCACTACTTTTTCTCGGTGATTCCCCAGCAGGCTCAGGGGTATTTGGTCGCGAGTGCCCGAACGGGCCATATTTTATTCTCCGATGCTCCTTCCTCAATCAAGGGATGGAAAGAACGGTTCTTCTTTGTCCCCGTCTCGGATGGTCTGATTCCGAAGAAATGGAACGCCTTTCCTCCGAAGTCTCCCGAGCTGTTCATCTCTGAGGAACTTAGCAAGGACATCATTGCCGTGGAGAAGGGCGGTTCTTACAAGATTATGCCTTACCTGACTCCCGATCAGCTTGTCAAGGCCGGGATAGGTACTGCCCGTGTCCCTGGATATACTTGATTGAACCCAAGTGCCATGGCCCGGGCGGTCCTTCCCGTGCGAGAAACATTTAATTTTGTTTCACACACGTTGAAGACGCTCGGTACCGGATGGCGACTTATAAGTCGTCCAACCATTTGGCGACTTTCCCCGACCATGTTTAAACCCAACAGTAGATCGGTAAATATTATTAACCCAACATTATTTTTGTAATTAATTAATTAATTAGTATTAATTCGAAAAAAAAAACTCGTAGATTTGGTTCCACAATATATTTATGTAACTAATATTATTCCATAATTTACTCACTTGCATACTACATATTAAACTATGTAGAATTGACATTTCCAGCCATCCGATTTCTTTCGGCTAAAATTATTTTTTGTTTTTCCTTTCGGTTGTTCCATTTGTGCATTTTCCCCATTTCGTGATCTCATTCAGAGTCATGCTTGGAACTCTCACGGCCTGTTTGGATTGAGTGTTGAGGAGCGTTAGTAATGGAAATGTTAGTAAGTGTTGATGCTAACACTTGTTTGGAAGAAAAATCCAGAGATGTTAAGGAGTGTTAGTAATGGTTAGGAAGTGTTAATAATAACCTTCCCAACACCTCAATTGTCCATTTTTTTAACACCCCGATTTGGAGTGTTTTGAGGTGTTGGACAATTATTACCCTTCTCATTTACCTGAAAAACATAAAATGCTTCGACATTTCACTTTGAATGTCTTTCCCGCGGGTCTGATGATATGTTTTTTCATCTCTTCTCTTTACTCGTTTCTTTTGCAAGGTAAAATTATAACACTTCATTATTAACACTTCATTCATTTGATTCTCCCAAAAACAAAGGTAAAATTATGTTAACACTTTGGGCTCGTTTGGTTGTTTACTCATTAAAACTTTACATGCAATCACTTTGCATGTAAAGTGTAGGACTCTAATCAGTTTACGTGTAAATTAAAAATACACCGTTTGGCTATCTATGTAATCTATTATTAAATTACACGCAAACTCTTTAAAATGTTTGTTTGGAAAATAATAAAATAATCCGCATTAACAAACGGATCATATACATAGCCGATTGCTGCTAGTTGATGCTAGTTGCTTACAATCTGCTTTTATGCTTACATTCTCAATCACACAAATGTATTAAGATAGCAAGTTCTACAAACCTTTCTACTGATATTCTCAAGCAGCATGCGGTGAATTACGTAGTTTAAAAAAAATTGAAAAACAAGGTAGAGATCAGATCCAACATGGAATCATGGTGATAAATTTAAAAAAAAAAAAACAGAAGCTGGCTTAGCTCTTCAATTATTCGAAGGAGCAGATCGAGTAGGGCAACACAGATCAGCAAGATAGGTAGTGGTGATTTGCTTCACGATTTTGTGTTCTTAAATAGGAGGGGAAATCTGCTTTTAGCAGCCAAAATTTTCTTTTGCTGCCATCAGCTAATTACAATCGTAAAAACTTCTTGAATTGTAAAAGAAGTTCTCTCGGTATTAATGAGTGTAAAGTAGTTTACTACCCTCCTCCCACGTAAAATATTTTACACGGTACAGTGTAAAATGTTTTTAAAAAAGTACCCTACAGTTTACACCAAATATTCAAAACAAACGGTGTAAAATGTTCACATCCCCTCACTTTACAGGCAGGCAAAGTGTTTACTTTACGTCATACCAAACAGGCCCTTTACTTCCCTTCCCTCCAGAGACCTCACTCTCCACAGGAACTCTTACACCATTTCGTTCCCCCATAGAAATTCATCAGTTCAGAATTTGATGATTCGATCTACTTCATCGAAGTGTAGTCAAACTTCTCAACTTTCTCCATTGAGTTCGGCCATAAGCGCAGGCATTTCATAGCAGGTATTTTCATTTCATCTTAATTTCCTAATTTCAGTTTGATTTTTGTTTGCTTTAATTTCATTTGCCTTAAGATCAGTTTGATTTCGCTCATCCATAGAAATTTATAATTCTTCATTTCAGAATCAATCTACTTCATCTAAGTTTAGTCAAATTTCTCAGCTCTTTCCCTTGAGTTCGGCCATGAGCGCAAGCATTTCATAGCAGGTATTTCCATTTCATTTTGATTTCCTAATTTCAGCTCGATTTTCGTTAAAATTATATAAACTATTGTTCGATTTCATATCAGGTATTTTCATTTCATCTCCATTTCCTTATTTCAGTTTGATTTTTGTAGAATTATATAAAGTATTATTGGATTTCTGGCCGAAGGGTATCATCATCAATTGAGAACACAAAGTTCGCTGTTTTCCGTTCCTAAGGGTTTTGTCCCTCTCTTGAGAACAAAATTACTAGACGACAATGATACTCTCGGGTTTCATTCCTTTTTATTTCCATTTCAATCTGTTCATTTTTTACCATTTGTTTTGCTTCAATCTTCCTTCTAATTTTTCTCATCTTCATTGGGTTCTTTAGTTTACTGGGGAAAACAATATTTTAGTTGCAATATTTGAAATAGATTACTAATGAACACTTAATTTACTGGTTTTGGTTTGATCTAATTACTGAAAATTTTCTGGTTCAATAATATCTGAATTCTGAATGAGTTGTTTACTGAACTCTGTGATTTATTGGTAGCAGTTGTCAGCGTTGAACAATATTACATTTGCAATATTTGGAAACAGATTACTGTTAATTACTAAATGTATTGGTTTTGCAGTTTTGCCTTAAATCTATTTATTTGGTTTTTAGCATCTTTGGATCATGGTGGGTTTGATTGAGAGAATTTCTTAGCATATGGATAAAGATGAAGTTTCTTTTTCAATTCATCTCTGTTTTTCCTATCCAATTCATTTCAATTCTTTAGTTTGATTCCTGGCATTCTTGATTTATACAAGATGCTTTAACTTTTAATTTTAATCCAAATATGATTATCTTTCCCATTAACTTCATTTCACTTATTTGATCTCATTTGTTACCATATGTTTTGCTTCAATATTCTCATCTTCCATGAAACTATATTGTTCCTACAAGTCACTCTACTATTTAAGCCCATTCACTTAAATATTGGAGTGCAGTTTTAATTAGTTATAAATTAAGACTGGACTATAACTCATATCGACTTTTGTTTTGTTTTGTTTTCTTTGTTTCATTTCTTGAGTCCAAAAATGCAATTTTGAGTATGTTTAGTGACTAATCCTCTCTATTTTTACTAAATTAATTGACAGATGCTCTATTTATTTATTACTAAATTGATCACAACTGACAAGGTGTGGTGTATTGATTTTTAATAATAGCAGTACTTTAATTTGTGATGGTTTTACTTTCCCACCAGTTTTAAAAGCATCTTAGCCCCCTCTATTTATTAAGTTTGTGTGCAAATCATTTGATTATTTTATGTTTGTCTCTAACTTTGAACATGAGACATTTCTTTAATTTATCCTCTGTTAGTTGTTCTTCTCACAGTGTGTTTGTTGTATGTAGGCAAGTGTGCATGTGCGGTCTCATTTCAACCAAGTCTGATGTGATGAACTCTATTACAATGAAAATACTACGTATAAAAGACTACTCATCATTTCCATGGAAGAAAAGTTGAGAGCATGCACACGCACCAGTGAGTTCTCTATTTCCACTTATGCATACACGGTTGGTTGATTTAATATTATTTTACATATGTTTGGCCTGGCGTATAAGATTCTTACACATTTTTGACTACTTTGTTATTCAGAAAACTCCGTTGAACATGTAAGAATCACTTCGGCACTTGACCAATAAGTTCAATAGTTATAATGGTTCAGTTTCACCATAAACGTTAATCAGTAATATGATGAATAAGAAATACTTAAATTGATACATGTCTGCACCTATTTTAGAGTTCAAGTGAAAATCTAGGAATGAGTTAGTAGTCTACGGCAATCCTTGTGTTTTTATAAAATAAAAACTTAGAGAATAAATGATAGTTTGAATATACCTCGAAGTCTTTAACTATTTAAGGGAAAACTGTCAAATAGGTCCTCGTACTATTGTCAAAAAGTCAATTAAGTCCTCATACTTATAGATCGGTCAATTAAGTCCACCAACTCTTAAAAAACAGCCAATTTTGCTGTTTAGCCGGTTGGATATATATTTTACCGGTTAGTAGCTGATGTGGAAGCAAATGTGACAATAATTCTGACTTTTCCTTTAGCTCGTTTCTTCTTTTTTTTCTCTTTTTTTTTTCTTTTTTTTCTCTCTCCTTTCTTTGCTGACTTCTTCTTCCGCCTACTTGCAGCGACAATCTTCTAATTTTTTTTCTTTATTCCTCTTCTCTCTACACTGTCTTTCTCCTCATCCAATTTCTTTCTTTTCCAATCTTCTTCACTTCTTCCATTCTTCCCGGTTCTCATTTTTTGGATGGGCAGCGAGCGCCGGCGGATGGCGGGCGGAGGTTGAGGAAGACATGGAAGGTGGGCGGCATGCGGAGTCAGCTAGGTAAGCTTTGGCTGTGGGGCTACGGGAGGCGGCTGACGGCGGTTGAGAAGTGTAGTTGACGGGCGGCGAGCGGCGGCTACTAGGTGATAGATGATTTGCTGGCTACCGGCGATAGGCGGCAAATTTAAGAAGTCGTGGGTGACGAGCGATCCCCGATGGCGGTTGGAGAAGTCAGAGAAATTAGCGATTAGACAAGTTGTGGCTTTGTGGGCGACCGGCATTTAGACGAGCTACGGCGCGGCGGCGGCGGCGGTGGCGGTTGGTGGTTAGCGACCAATGAGGAAGAGATGGGCGGCGAAGGTTGATGCCTTTTGTGGAAAGAATTACTATGTAGAATAAGAAAGAAAGAGAGAATGAAAGAAATAAGAAAAGAAGAAAAGAAAAAAATGCAGAAACGCACGCAGGTAAAAGCAGGGAAGAAGAAGTGTGAGAGGAGAAGAAAGAAGGAGAGGGAAGGTGAAAGGAAAAGAAAGTGAAAAAGGGAAAAATAAAAAATCCAAATGGACTGTCATGTCTGTGCATTTGACCTTCAACCGAATGCCAACCGGTTAAATGGCCTATTTGAGTGTTTTTTTAATAGTTGGTGGACTTAATTGATTGAGAGATAAGTACGAGGACTCAATTAACTTTTTGACAATAGTAGGAGGACCTATTTGACAGTTTTCCCAACTTTTAAACATCTAGTTAAAATGCACTCGAGCCTTTAGAATCCGTGAGCTTTTAAAAATTTGTCTCTAATTCTGATAGGATCCTCCAGATATTCAAGAACAATTGCAGAAATTATATCAAGAAACAAACTGAAATTCTTTATTGAAGAAGATGAACAGTACAGTGACCTAAGCAGAAGCCTCCCAAAAGAGAAGAGATCGTCAATCTCTAATCTTCCCAGTTCCCAGACCAAAGTCCCAAAAGCCTCTTTTCTAACTCCCTTACCCCTCTATTTATACTAGGGTACTCAGACCCTTATTACTAATATTATTATTAATACTTCTATTATTAGTCTAATATAAGTGGGTTCCTATCAATACACCCTCCCTAAACAACCACCTTGTCCTCAAGGTGGGATGATAGGATCCTCCAGATATTCAAGAACAATTGCAGAAATTATATCAAGAAACAAACTGAAATTCTTTATTGAAGAAGATGAACAGTACAGTGACCTAAGCAGAAGCCTCCCAAAAGAGAAGAGATCGTCAATCTCTAATCTTCCCAGTTCCCAGACCAAAGTCCCAAAAGCCTCTTTTCTAACTCCCTTACCCCTCTATTTATACTAGGGTACTCAGACCCTTATTACTAATATTATTATTAATACTTCTATTATTAGTCTAATATAAGTGGGTTCCTATCAATTTATCCTGGTATTAGGATCACAAGAAACTCCGCTCACAGCTTTGATGTCATCAATTGGTAAAGGTTTCAACCATAGTGGCAGAAGATCTGGTGAATCAATAACCAATTCTTCACCATGTTGTCGTGGTTTGGTCCACATTTGCCTAACATAAGGTAAAATGTGAACATCCAAAGGCTGTATGCTACCAGGAGCCCTAATTACTGGAGTTTGCTGGTAACTCTTTGGGTTCAACCTCTGTAAAAACCTTGTGAAGACTTTATAAACCTCAGGAAGTAATAGGTTATGAGCTGTCATTGCATAGATGTCTCCCAACAATTGATAACTTTCATTTACTCTAAGGGAATTATGTAAGTCAGGCTTGGGGTAATCTAACATGCTCTCAACCCATGGCTGTAATTCTGCTTGTTGTAATTCGAGGTGTTGGCCATGGCTAGATTTATCAGCAGCATTAATCTGTGTGCGGTTTCCCCGGGTGATAGCAGATTCTTCAGAAAAAAGATAAACATGATCCTTATGAATCTTTGGATCAGACTTTTCAGGAACCATTAGGACTCTTTCCTCCCTGATTTCATCTTCCTTATTCCTTTGCTTGATTACAGGTTCAGTTGGTTCCATCTTGATTATAGGTTCATTTGAAATTGATGATTCAGCCGGATTCCATCTTGATTCGGAAACCTGGGACAAAGGTTTTGATGACATCTGCAAATCAGTAACAATTCCTTCTGATGACGATTGAAGATGATGATTAATTAGCGAGTTGGTCAAAGCAGTACTCGATTTCAAACATGGAGTAACATTAATTCGCTTAGAAGATTGCGAACTGGAAGTTCTTCGTGACTTGGATGACTCCTGTTTTACCGTCTTCCCTGTCTTCTGCAGGTGTTTAGGTGGAAAATCCCTAATCAAATCTTCTTTTAGTGCATCCCAACTGTCTTCTCTCTTGTGAAAATCCCACCATTGAAACCAGCCATCTGCTTCTTCCCCCATAGCCTTTGCTGCCACATCCACTTTAAATCTTTCTGCAATAGCTTGGACTTGGAAATATCTTTCCATCCTCCCAATCCATTCGTATGCTTCATGCTCGTAAAATAGAGGTAATTCCTCCTTTGAAATATCTGACTTCCTAGACTTGACTTTTGACCAAGAAGGTGAACTGTGAGAATCCTTTGGCGACGAATGTGATGATTCTCCACTCCCTAGCTTCTTTCTTGAACGCGTACTGATGTCCGTTGAGAAAGTCTGATGCGAAGAGCGAAAATAAGAATGATGAGAAGAACTCTGCGAAGAACGATGGGAAGAACTTTGTGAATAGCGATGGAAAGAGCTTTGCGAAGAAACAGTGCGCGAATCTGTCTGCGATGGCGAATGAGGCTTACTGTTCCTCGTTCGGTCGCCAGGTTGTCTGCGATGCCTCCGCTCTTCTAATTCCTCTGGACTCGCTGACCTTCGCGTGTGAGGATGATGAGATTCGCCCTGCGATGCGTTTGACGCATGCGATCTATTCCGCGATCGACTCTGGACTGTATTTTCCAGCCTTGCGATGTCCGTCTTTATGACTGCCAAGGTCGTTGCCATCGACGCCATTTTTGCCGATGTTTCTTTTTGTTTTCTTTCCAGGTCGTTAATTCTCCCTTCCATTCTGCACGCGAGTATCTCAACCAGCGATCGAAGTCTCTGATACCAATGATTCAGATTCTCGGTCTCCAGGAAATAACGGCTCTGATACCAATGATAGGATCCTCCAGATATTCAAGAACAATTGCAGAAATTATATCAAGAAACAAACTGAAATTCTTTATTGAAGAAGATGAACAGTACAGTGACCTAAGCAGAAGCCTCCCAAAAGAGAAGAGATCGTCAATCTCTAATCTTCCCAGTTCCCAGACCAAAGTCCCAAAAGCCTCTTTTCTAACTCCCTTACCCCTCTATTTATACTAGGGTACTCAGACCCTTATTACTAATATTATTATTAATACTTCTATTATTAGTCTAATATAAGTGGGTTCCTATCATTCCTTATATAATAGTAATACATTTCGTCTAATTTCATTCGTAGTACTCCTTCCGTCCCTCAAAACTTTGTCAGGTTTGATCATCACGAGGAATAATGAGATAAAAACTGTGTGATAAAGATTTGTGCAGATGAGAGAAAAATAACACAGTTCGATTAAATGATTAAAAAAAAAGTGACAAAGTTTTTTAGACTTATAGAATACACCCCACCATTTTTATTTAATGAGGGGGGGGGGGAATAAGCTAACGAACTATTAGCGATTATGCAATCACACCCTGAACCGGAAAAGTTACAAATACACCATCAACTTATTGAAAATTAAATAATCAGATTCTTTTTTGGTATCAATAATTTCTCATCAGAAAGTTATCCTTACACGCACTAAGGGTATGTTTGGTTCAGGGAATGTTAGATTACCATGGGAATGTCAGATTGTTGGGTATATTAGATTGATGAGAATGTATCCAATTTATTCCCATTTGTGTTTGGTTAAGATTAAGGGAATGTGATATTAATTTACTTGGTTGAAAGATATCTTATATTGCAAATATGGTGAATTACTTCAATGCTCTTTAAATATTTATCTTAACGCAATAAATCTATTACAACCTACATCTAAAGTAATTAAAATTAAAGAGAAAATGAAATATCATAATAATAAATAAAATCAAACCTAATTGAATTATTTTTAAGTAAACTATGTTTAATTGTAAAAAGTTGTAGATCCAATTCAAAAGTGAAAAAAACTTTGTTCAATCTAAATATATTTATTATTATTTCAAAAAAATTAAATTTAAAAAATGTTCAAGTTATTCATAAAACTTCTTTTCAAATTAACGAAAAATGATCAATTTTTCCATTAAATTTTGAAATCCACTCATCAAAAACTTAGGATAATCTATAAGTCTTATGAAATAAATACCTTAAAAAATTTAAATGTCAAGGAAAAAAGAATTATGAAAATAACAAGAATAGACATTCGAATATAATTAAATAAACATACTCCATATGTCCTGCTTAAATGGTTGTCACACAATCTACGATCGACTGACCATAAAATTAACTGATCTCTTTCAATAATAAGATTATTTTTTAGTAAATATAATTTACATATTTAGAAACTACATTAAAAATTTTATAAAATCGCACTATATAAAGAAATTAAATGAAAAGAGATAATTAATTGAGGGTATTTTCGGAAGAAAATTAGACCATCATCGGGAATGTAAGATAACCTAAGACATGGGTGGTTATAAGATTCCCCTCTATATTACATTCCTGGGAATGTAACTTTTCCCATTTTTTCTCAAACCCGTAAACCAAACATGAGTATTTGACATTCCGTGCATTACATTCCGGCCTTCATGTGAGATTACCCCAAACCAAACATACCCTAATAGGTAAGAAGGATCAAATTTGATAATATATTTACAAATCTTCCCATTAAGGGTGTGATTGCAGAAGGCCAGAATCAGAATTTATTTGCGATGTCTCTTATTTAATTGAAAAGGAAAAATATTTCTAACTGAAATCCCACTGTAAAATCAGATAGAAGCTTCATGCTCAAAGCTACCAAGCTTATTGTTCTATACAGCAGGAGAACATATCGCAGATTCATTTCCATTGGAGGATCAATCCCAGTTGTAACCAGTCCAGCTCCTACTCAAGAAAATATAACTCGCCTAATACTTGATCAAAAGTCTGTTTCTGAAGCTCTCCAAACTTTCAGATGGGCATCTGATATACCGCATTTCACTCACTCTCGATCCACATTCCGAGCTTTGATTCACAAGTTATGTCTTTTCCGGCGTTTCGACATTGCCTATCAACTGCTAGACGAAATGCGCACCTCAGCTTGTATAACCCCGGATGAAGGCATTTTCATTACTTTTGTCCGCGGTCTTGGCAGGGCTAGAATGATGAAGGAGGTGATCCAAATACCAGAATTGGCATCCAAGTTTGATCTGAACCCTAGTCTAAAGCTCATGAATACTATTCTTGATGTTTTAGTTAAGGAAGATATTGATATTGCCAGAGAGTTTTACAGGAAGAAAATGATGGGATGCAATGGTGTACAAGGAGATGATTACACCTATGCGATTCTTATGAAAGGGCTATGCGCCACTAACAGAATCCAAGATGGATTCAAGCTTCTGCAAGTGTTGAAGAGTTGGGACACAAAACCGAACATTGTGATCTACAACACACTGATGCATGCCCTTTGCAAGAATGGGAAGGTTGGTAGAGCAAGGAGTTTGATGAGGGAAATATCTGAACCTAATAATGTCACTTTCAATATCTTGATTTCTGCTTACTGTAAAGACGATAATTTAGTGAACGCACTGGTGATGCTGGAGAAAAGCTTCAACAAAGGGTTTGTTCCTGACGTTATAACAATGACTAAGATAGTTGAAATTCTATGTAAGAAAGGGCGTCTGTCTGAGGCTGTTGAGATCCTAGAAAGAGTAGAGGGGAAGGAAGGGGCGATTGATGTTTTGGCTTATAATACATTGATCAAAGGCTATTGCAGGTCAGGGAAGGTCAAAATCGGGCTTCGCCTTTTGCATGAGATGGAGAAGAAAGGATGCCTACCAAATGCAGACACATATAATGCATTGATATCTGGTTTATGTGAGTGTTCTATGTATGACATGGCCCTTGATATTTTTAATGAAATGAAAATGGTTGGGTTAAAGTGGAATGCTGCCACTTATGATGCTTTAATTCATGGGCTTTGCTTTGGTGGGAGGATTCAAGATGGGTTCAATATCTTAGCTTTAATGGAGGATAACAAAATGGAGGGTCACATAAGGCCTTATAATGGAATCATCTATGGCCTATATAAGGAAAACCGTTTGGATGAAGCGTTAGGATTCTTGAGGAAGATGGAGAATACTTTTCCACGTCTAGTAGATAGGAGCCTGAGAATTCTTAAGTTATGCGAAGACGGATGTGTTGATGAAGCGAAAAACACTTACATTCAGATGATCGAAGAAGGTAGGGTTCCGTGTGCTCTGGTTTATGCCAACCTAATCCATGTGTTTTGTGTGAAAGAACGGTTAAGGGAAGCGACTCAGGTAATGAATGAGATGGTGAGGCACGGGTATTTGCCCATTGCTTCAACTTTCAACGCTCTAATCAAAGGGCTTTGCAGGAAGGGTAAAACTGGGAATGCCTTGAAATTTATGGAGGATATTGTGAGTAGAGGTTTCTTTCCTGATATAGAAAGCTATAGTCTGTTTCTTGAAGCCCTTTGCAGCAAAGGAGAGTTCCACAATGCGTTCATCGTCTTTCTACAAATGGTGGAAAAGGGTATTATTCCAAACTCTTCTTCATGGAATATGTTACTTCAATGTTTGCATGAAGAACACCATAGTATGTGCCGCGTGGGTAACCACCAACTCTGTTCCATTATAGAGGCTTAATCATTTTTTAAGTTTTGCCAAAAGGGAAAACTTAATGTATATATGTATTATCTCTATACATAAATGCACCACATCTCAAAATTTTCCATTTCCCCACCCATTGCATCTTTAATTAGGGCCGTCCGTTCAAATCACCCGCAACTTCCTTTCCTTTGTAACTTCATTTGATAAACCATTATTTGTTTTGTTTATATCCATCTGGTTGAAGATGGCATTTTAGATGATGGGTAATATATAGGAGTATTTTGTTTTTAGAATAAGAAAAGTGGAGTGCACTTGCAAAAATTATACATAAAATCCAAGGGTGTGAAATCCCAAGAATAAGGTAATCAAGTCCAACAAGTGTTCTTTGAGAGGGGAAGGAAGTGAGAATGTTGTATTAGAGTTGCAAAAAGGGCTTGATTACCGGCCCGGTACTAGTACCGGGTTAGTGAGAAGGGTCACACTTCTTAATAATTGTGCCACCTCATTATTTCTCAATGTTAATGAAACAGAGATTGTATATGGCTTCTTAGACCATTACAAATATAATGTTCAAGGTAATATTATTAGTGACAAATAGCAACAATCAATATATATATATAAAAGAGGAACTTTTTAAGAGCATACGGTGTGTCACATAATCCTGCCATGTCATCATATATAATAATTATTAATTACTTTTTATGCTTTTTATTTTTTATTACATTCTATTTTTTATTGCATATTGATATAGAAACAAAATATTGTACGATTATATAGAATCCACCTTATTTATACTACGTAACATTTTGAGAACCTCTACTTAATTACTCCGTATTAATTTGTATGACACGGATCAACATCGTTTTTTTATTTGTAATAAAAAATAAAGTAGATTGAAAATTTATTTGTATGAACTAAATTTTAGATGAAGTACGTCATTCATAAAATTTAGTTACAGTAGATTTAATTCATAATTTGTATTAATTTGTATGACACGGTTCAGCCATCCCTTTTTCATAATTTGGAAAATTCCGTCAATTTAGCCCAATCAATTAGATTTAATTTATTACAGTAGAGTCAGACAATTCAACTCATTTTGGTATTATCAAACGGCTTTATATGAGACTGAGTTTATTTTGCTTTTACATCACATTAAATTATACTACGTATATGATTTTGAAAGGAATTTTATCAATTCAGGACCCGAAAGATAGATTAACTATCAATTTAGGACCCGAAAGATGAAACGTATCGATATAGGACCCGAATGATGAAAAACTATCAATTTAGGACCTGAATGATTGGAAACTATCAATTTAGGACCTAAGTTTTCATGAATTTTATTATTATTTTTATTTTAAAAATTTTAAATATTAATTAGTTTTATTAAACTAATAAACTTTTGTGAAGAAAAGTTTATCAAAAATTAGTAATGGATTTAATAAAAAATTAAATAAATCAAAACCTATGAAATATTAGGTCCTAAATTGATAGTTTTCCATCATTCGGGTCCTATACCGATACGTTTCATCTTTCGGATCCTGAATTGATAATTAATCTATTCTTAATTAATTTACAATTAACTAAATTATTTATTTTGGTATTAAATAAATAAAGTGTTTTATGAATACCCATGTACATGTATATTAAGCGGTGTATGTAGGAGCGAGGAGGATGCATCGGACTGACTCGATACAATTACTTTTTCAAAATAATATTGTACGCTATAAATAGAACTTTTCAAATTTTGGGTATGTTACTATGTTGTGTCCGAATCTTAATATATCATTTTAGGGCCATCATTTTATTACTTAACAATTTTGTGATGTGGGACTTCAACACTCTTCCTCACTACTAGACACTTTGTATGGGTCGTGTCATCATTCATTTTTCATCGGTTCATGAGTTCGTCGTTATCATTTTTCATAATCATCGTCATATTTTTCATAGGGAGTCCACACCACCATTATGGATCAATTTGGCTCTGATACAATTTTAAGATCCGAGATTTTATTATAAAAGGTCAACCTTGTAGGAAGAGTAACTCAAATCTTAATTTCTTACTTTATAATTATAACTAGACGAAGTACCCATGCGATGCACGGGGTATATCTAGAATTGAATAATACGCAATTTAATAAATTAATGTTTTATGATGGTATATAATGTATAATTTTCTAAATAAGAATATAGTTTAACGTTTATATAATGTGAGTTTGATTATATACGTTGTAATAGTTGCAGGAAAATTTAAATCGTATGAAAATTACGATATATAATAAAATAAAATAAACAATAATGTGTAACCAAGCTCTACATGAAAAAACAATTAGCTTTGTGTGACAAAGAATAAGTTGATACTACAATTATTGGTGGGTATCGTGAAATTATATAAAATAAAACAATCATATATGTTGACAATGTAAAAAATGATTCACAAATTTTGGAAAACTTCTTTATAGACTACATTTTTGGTGGTGTTGATAGCACAACCTTCATCATCCAATATGAGAATCTTCAACCCATTCCTTGAGGTAACCCTTGACATGGCAACGTACAATTGACCATGCGTAAACATAGGTTTTGGGAGATATATGCTCTCTTGATGTAGAGATTGTCCTTGACTTTTGTTTATCGTCATGGCAAATGAAACGACAATTGGGAATTGCATGTGTTAAAATTTGAAAGGAATTCTGCTATCCGACGGGATCAATGATAGTCGCGGAATCAAAACCTTTTGGTCAATACTTTTGCCAGATATAACCTTCGCCTCTAAAACAAATTTACTCAACCGAGTAATGATCAGGCGTGTTCCATTACATAAGTCAGGGGACTGATCAATGTTTCTCATTAACATAATAGACACACCAACCTTTAGTCCCAATTTATGGTTCAGGATCCCTGATCCATTGATGTGTTAAAAAACTCTTAAGTATGCACTCCATCGAATTTGACGCCATTGGTTGAGCCTTCAGGTGAACATGGGCTGTCAAAACTCAAATATGTCCTTGTTTCTCCAGGCATCAATGAAATCATATAATTATTGATAAACTCTACAACATCATTTGTTGGTGTCAAAATAGCTCTTTCCTGAAAATATGTTGGATCCGCTATATTCTCCAGAAATGAAGGATAACTGCTAGCAACAATTGAAGCAATAGGATCACTTGAAGTGGTAATAAGCATATCATCAGGTATATCAATGAACACATCTCCATCTCTGACGTCCCCAACGTTTCCATCTCCTACTTTGAGCATCAAATCTGAGAAACTTTTCAATTCGTCAACATTACAATGCGAAGAACCACATTGCAGTCTCATGTTTTTTGTCAAAGTGAGAATGTGACAATGTCTCCAAATATATGATGGGAAGTATTTGTCTGAAATCACCACAAAAAACAACTTTCCCTCCAAATGGAAGCTTCAAGCTATCACGAAATCTGAGCAAATCCTTTAATGTCCTGGCAACAGCTTCAAAGCAATGTTTGTGTGTCATCGGAGCTTCATCCCATATTATAAGCTTCACTTTGATTATTAGCTCAGCTAGATCGCTTCCCAGCTGTTTTATATTGTAAGTGGAGTCTTCATTGACATTAACAATAATCTAAAATATTGATTATTTTTGTATAGCTTCAACAATATGGACCGCCCGCCAATAATGATCCATGACCGCTTATTACCTGCTATAACAGGTCAATTTTAAATAGAAACTAAGTATTTTTTTTAAATAACCTGAACTATTCTCGTTCTTCTTTTATTAATCCCAAGCATCAACTCAACTTTTCTTACACAAAGTAGAAAAATTTATTTAAATTTCAATTTTTCAAATTTATAAATGAAAGTTTAACTAAATATAAAAACTTATTGCATTCTAGAAATAAAAAATGTTACATTTTATGTTTCATTCTTATTTTTAGGAAAAAATTTATTTTTGATAAATAACTGTTTTTGGATTCTTTTACAAATTCACGATTTTTATTAATTTCTAACTAATTTAAAATGATTTAATATTTTAGGATGATTAGCTTTTAATTTTTTATATTTTGAAAATATGTATTAGTATTTTTATCTTTTTCACTTTCATAATTTTGAAAATCAAGGTATTCGTTTTTTAATTATAATTTTTACTTAATTTGAATTTCATTTTCCCTTTAAGCTTTTTATATTGACATTTTTACTCTCCTTTATATATTTAAAATATCTTACATGATATGAAATTTTAATTTTGAAATTCATATAAGTTTTTCCATATTCTATAATTATATATATATATATATATTTATATTATATTCTTTAAATCTACAAACTATCTAAAAATAATAATTAAGTAAAAACAATTTTTTATAATCTTTTTTACCTTTTCTATTTATTTATGCAAATGATAGTAAAGATTATTATAATCTAATATTTGTTGTTTAATTGACTCAACATGTAGCCGTTCACGTCAAACCAATAGTGGCGGAAGGTCCCTAAAATTGGGATTATTCTGAAATAATCGATAGTTGAGATTATTATGAGCAGACCGCCAATAGTTGTGATTATTGCTATCGATTTTTCCTTTACTTTTTAACTTAAGATTTTATTTTGTGTGTATTTGTATTATGAGGTTGTACGTTACAAAAAAAGTATTTTTTTGTTTTGTTTTTGTGTTACTTTTACTAAATTAAAAGTAGTGTTTTAAGGGAAAATTGCACTATTGATTTCTCAATTAGTCACCATATTGAAATGTTAAACTCGTGTTTATGAGATTGTAAATGTCACCTGAATGGACAAATGTGTGGTAAATGTCTTTCCCGGTTAATTATAATTTGTACTTAATTTGAATTTCATTTTCCCTTTAAGCTTTTTATATTGACATTTTTACTCTCCTTTATATATTTAAAATATCTTACATGATATGAAATTTTAATTTTGAAATTCATATAAGTTTTTCCATATTCTATAATTACATATATTATATTCTTTAAATCTACAAACTATCTAAAAATAGTAATTAAGTAAAAATAATTTTTATAATTTTTTTTACCCTTTCTATTTATTTATTCAAATGATAGTTTAAATTATTATAATCTAATATTTGTTGTTTAATTGACTGAACATGTAGCCAGACCAATAGTGGCGGAAGGCCCCTAAAATTGGGATTATTCTGAAATAATCGGTAGTTGGGATTATTATGAGCGGACCGCCAATAGTTGTGATTATTACTATCAATTTTTCCTTTACTTTTTAACTTAAGATTTTATTTTGTGTGTATTTATATTATGAGATTGTACGTTACAAAAAAAGTATTTTTTTGTTTTGTTTTTGTGTTACTTTTACTAAATTTAAAGTAGTGTTTTAAGGGAAAATTGCACTATTGATTTCTCAATTAGTCACCATATTGAAATGTTAAACCCGTGTTTATGAGATTGTAAATGTCACCTGAATGGACAAATGTGTGGTAAATGTCATTCCCGGTTAATTATAACGGCAGTGATGACAGTTACAACACATTTGTCAATTTGGGGTGACATTTATAGTCTCAAAAACATGGGTCTGACATTTCACTA